ACACACTGACACTGACCTCCTGACAGATACTGTAACACACACACTCACACACAGATGCACTGTAACACACACTGACACACTAACACTCTGACACACACACGTTCACACACACTCAGTTCCATGACGTCAGCGCAGCCTGTTTGACTTCAGCTGCACAAACAGCAGCAGGAGAGGAGGAGGAAGGAGGGGGAGAGAGGAGGCAAATGAAAGGATAGTCGGGCAAACCGATCGACCTTCCAGAGCGAGCAGCTGGCCAGGACCATTTAGCAATTAACCAATTACCTCTGCTCGCTGCTTCATAACGAGCTCCCACCTCTCTTACAGCACGCTGCCAGAGTCCCCTCCTGACTCCAGCTCAGAGCCCTACTCCCCCCAGCAGGTGAATGGTAAGTCCCAGCATCCCACTGCACGGCAGTACAGAGACCGTACCACTGCACAGGCCGGGGGGGGAGGCGTACAGTGTGCGCGCGCTGTCTTTCTGTACACAGGGTGGGGCGGCTGGCTTTGTCCTCTCTGTGGGCAAGGTGTGAGAGGGGGGAGGGGTGGAATTAGCGCTGGGAAGGAGGGAAAGCGCCCGAGAGGCCGCAGACGCAGGGAGAGCAGCGAGCCGAGCGAGACCAGGCCAGAGCAGAGAGAGGGAAGGGCAGGGGGCAGAGGAGCGACTCGGCCAGCCCACAGGTAAAACACCCCACCCCAGCCGGCCACTCATCCACTGCCCCCATCCAGCTCTGGGGGGCAGGGCAGAGGGGCCTGGAGCTGGGACACGGCGCCGCATTCACACACTCGCACACTGACCGCACACACACACACAGACTGCAACCACACACACCCCCCCCACCTCAGCTGTGTTGGTCTCTCCCGCGTGTCAGAGCGGAATCTGCTAATCTGATTGGCTGAGCTCCAAGCCTGCGGGCCACAATGGCAGGTACCAAGAGCAGCGGAGGGGGGAGGAACTGCGCGAATAAGGAAGGTCAAAGGACACTGGGCACACTGTAGCTCATGGGGCATGCCAACACAGCTGGGCCAAGAGGGGCTGGAGAGCCCGAGGACTGAGGCAGAGGGATAGGGCTGTCTGAGTTCGAGGACAGGGGCTCAAAGTTGTGTTGAGGTTGGGATAGAAGATAGAAGAGCCAGAGTATACAGAGAAATGAAGTGTTCAGAGTGCACACTTTAGATCAAGGGGTGTTGTGTTCAAATGTACCACACTCCAGTAAGACTTCGTTTGGAATATTGAATTGCACTGCGGAAATATTGTACTGCACAGGGATCTTCCCAAAGAAGAGCAACAAGGTACATTCCTGGGGTCAAAAGGAGAGGCTGGAGGAACTGAGTCTCTTCAGTCTGAAAGGAGTGTCCCATACCGACAGGCTGAGGGACTGAGTCTCTTTAGTCTGAAGGGGGTGTCCCACACCGACAGGCTGAGGGACTGAGTCTCTTTAGTCT